TATAATAATAATAATATATAAATCCTGTATAATAATAAATAATAATAATAATATATAAATCCTGTATAATAATAATAATATATAAATCCTGTATAATAATATATAAATCCTGTATAATAATAATATATAAATCCTGTATAATAATAATAATATATAAATCCTGTATAATAATAATATATAAATCCTGTATAATAATAATATATAAATCCTGTATAATAATAATAATATAAATCCTGTATAATAATAATAATATATAAATCCTGTATAATAATATATAAATCCTGTATAATAATAATAATAATATATAAATCCTGTATAATAATAATAATTACAGTATATTGTGCATACTTTACTTTTTTGATGCTTTATCTTGTATTGACTGTCATACTGCAATGCCTTTTATTACTGCGCTGTGGTTTAGTGGTACAATGTATGTGCATGTGGTTGGTGCCTTTGGAAAGTAAGTAATAAAGTGGAACTTCACCCAAAAGATACGCTTTATATCCTCCTCCCCCCTTCTCTACAAGAATTGGTAAACTTAATTTTCTGGGGAGGGAGCAGGTTCCTGGTTTTGACAGGTACCTGCTCCCATTTCCACCTGAATCGCCTGGCGGAAGTTGTCCCCCCCCCCCCCCCCCATCTGCCTGTAGCCTGATTACTGCCAAACCTGGTGAATCGATAAATCACCTAACTAGAAGCTGTTTGAGAAAGTGAAGCACAATAAAAGACCTCAAAAAGCAATACATCATGCCGCGATCTACAGAAATTCAAGAACAGATGAGAAACAAAAAAGATGACATGTATCAGTCTGGAAAGGGTTACAAAGCTATTTCTAAGGCTTTGGGACTCCAGTGAACCATGATGAGAGCCATTATTTACAAATGGAAAAGACAAATATGCAAAAAAAGAAAAAAAAAAATCAGGAAAGGGTCAAATACTTTTTCACAGCACTGTATATACAGTATATGCTATGATAAATATGCTTTACATATGCTATATTGAAATTAAATACTCCTGACCTTTGCACTTTATATGGTGTGTTGTATGTTACACAGTCCTGACACTGCATTGTGTGCTACGTGCTCCTGACCTCTGCTATATACACTCACCGGCCACTTTATTAAGTACACCTACTTCCTGCTTGGAAACACAAATTGCTAATTAGCCAATCACATGGCAGCAACTAGACGTGGGGAAGACGACTTGCTGAAGTTCAAACAGAGCATCAGAATGGGGGAAGAAAAGGGATTTTATTGACTTTGAACGTAGCATGGTTGTTGGTGCCAGATGGGCTGGTCTGAATATTTAAAAAACTGCTGATCTACTGGGATTTTCATGCACAACCATCTCTAGGGTTTACAGAGAATGGTCCGAAAAAGAGAAAATATCCAGTGAGCGGCAGTTGTGTGGAGGAAAATGCCTTGTTGATGTCAGAGGTCAGAGGAGAATGGGCAGACTGGTTCAAGATGATAGAAAGGCAACAGGAACTCATGTCAATATGGACCAAAATCTCTGAGGAATGTTTCCAACACCTTGTTGAATCTATGCCACGAAGTAGTAAAGCAGTTCTGAAGGCAAAAGGGGTCCAACCTGGTACTAGCAAGGTGTACCTAATAAAGTGGCCAGTGAGTGCATATGCTATGTTATATATACTTTTATATATGCTATTTTGTACATTATCTCTTGACCCTTGCACTTTCTATGGCATATTGTATGTTACATAGTCCTGACCACTGCACCCTATACATTTTGTTCTAGGTTACATGCTCCTGACCTCTGGGGGGTTTTTTTTTTTTGTATACTCCTGACCCTTGCAGTTTATCTGATGTGGGCCTGACCATTGCACTTTATACGTTAGGTTGTCTCTATAATTGACAGTTGCTGACTAATCCCCAATTGTTTAAAGCTAAGCTTCAATGTTTTTGTTCGTATTTTCAGATAAACTTTTTGACAATCATTAGACCAAAACAGGTGAATTTGTTGATTAAGGCCCCTTTCACACGGGCGTTTGTTTTTTTTCATCAGTTCAGTCACGTTGTTTCAACGAAAAAAACTTATCAGTTTACATCAGTTATTCATCAGTTTACATCTGTTTTGCATCTATTTTTCATCTATTTACATCTGTTTTCCGTCTCTTTACATCCGTTTTCATCCGTTCCATTTACATCCATTTTTCATCAGTTTACATCCATTTTTAATCTGTTTACATCCATTTTCATCTGTTCCGTTTACGTCCATTTTTTGTCCCTTTTTCATACATTTTTTTGTCCATTTACATACATTTTCTTTATTCGTTTACATCAGTTTTTGTCCATTTACATCCAATTTTCATCCGTTTACATCCGTTTGTCTGTTTACATCCGTTTTTCATCCGTCCTGTCTTTTTTAAATGGAAGAACAGGGTTTTCTTCCGTTTAAAAAAAACGGATGTTAATGGATGCAGACATTAACGGATGTAAACAGATGATCATCTGTTTACATCCGCTACTCCATAGAAATACATGGGTGTCCGTTTTTCATCCGTAAGTGGACAGATGAAAAACGAACATGCAGAACGCCCATGTGAAAGGGGCCTATAACAATTGAACTAAATTGGCAGTCACCTGAAAAATGGATGCATTTATAGACGGCATGATTCAATGTGCTTTTAAAGCACATCACAGAAAAAGTGTCAGCACTGTATATACTGCATAAATAAATGTGACTTTTTCCACTTATCAGACTGAGACGGCGTCCTGATACAACCTGCGCTTTAAGCTGTCGCTCCACACTGTCACCCTTCCCGCTGCAGACATTACGTCTCTATTACCTTGGGAAGACACATCACTTACAAAGCCTTATCAAAGTACACAAACATGTTACAGTTTAGGATCAAACACTTCCTTTAAAGTTTCCAGGCTAGACACTAATTACATGTTCAATGAATTATAATTAATGCACAGAGAGACCCAACCACAGCCTCCGGGCTTTGGAATGTTGGCAGCTGTTTAGGTGCCCACAGCAATATGACACCCCTTCCAAAGGGGCAAATATAAAACTTCAATTTCAAATGCATTTATACCTAACACTTTTTTTTTTCTTTTAGTTTTGGATAAAGTGGGAAAGGAATAGAACTTCTGTCTTGTTTTACTGCACTCCGAAGCTTGTTGCAGAGATTCCTTCACTTCCTGTCTGGTAAAAAGGTTATCCCCAGGATAGGGGTGTAACTACAAATCATGGGGCCCCCAAGAACCTCTCTTTGTGGCACTGGACAATGTAAATCAAGGTTCAAGGCATAAAGCGATACAAAAGGTTCATTTTTTTTTTCTTGAAAAGTAACAAACATAAGAAAAATCAATTTGGTCGCTGAATTAACAAAATAGTCGGTGTCCAATCAAATGAAATATATAATTAATGATAATCCTTCCCAAATCCTCAGTATACACTAATACAGTCTTCTTTAACCCCTTGCCGTCCGCCTGCTGTTTATAAACGGCAGGGCGGTGGCACTCCAGGGGCGGGTTGCCGTTCATAAACGGCACCCGCCATTTCTAGCTGTGTGCGCTCCCTTGGAGCGCGCAGCACCACGATCCGGTGCCCGCTGTGTCCTCCGGACAAAGTGAAACACCGATCGTCGGACGGGACCTCTGTACGAGGTCCCAATCATGTGATCACTGATAGGCAAATCAGTGCTCACATGCGAAGTAGTAAGCAAGATGTCACTTGTGACATCATTGCTTACTACGTGTGAAATCTGTGAATGATCACAGAGGTCACATGGTACAAGGCTATTCAAAACAGCCTTGTACCATGTGACAAGATGTGACCAATCACAGCTCACTCAGTATTTCTCAATGCAGACAAGAATGCAGACAGAAAGAGAAATGATTGCTTTTACATGGGTGTAAAAGCAATCACTGTAAAAAAAAAAAAAAAAATCTTCATCACCCCCCACAAGTAGTACAGTGTCACCATGGTGACACTGTACTGCTAGGGTGACAGTATGTAAAAAAACCCATAAATAATAATATAAAAAAATAAAATAAAAACGTTTAAAAATTATAATTTTTGGTTATAAACTAATTTGGCTTTTTTTTTTTTTTTTTTTTACTAAAAAGATAACGGAATACATTTCGCCAAGATTTATGATGAAAGATTATTTATTTGCAAAATGTTATAAGAAAAACACTTTTTTTCTAAATTTTTGGACATTTTTCACTTACATAGCAAAAAAAATAAAAATTCCAGTGGTGAATAAATACCACCAAAATAAAGCTTTATCTGTCTCAAAAAAATGGTAAAAAATTCAAATGGGTAAAGTGTTGTATGACCGCACAATTATCATTCAAAGTGTGATAGCGCTGAAAGTTGAAAATTGCCCTGGATAGGAAGGGGGTAAAAGTGTCCAGACAGGAATTGGTTAAATCCACCAGTTCTTAGTGATCCTTTTAATTTTCAAAATTCAAGGATCACTAAGAACTGGTGAATTTAACCTCCCTAGTGGTCTGATTATGTCCATATTTTTGTGCTCAAAGCGGTACATTTTTTTGCATGGAAATATGTATTTTTTTTTTATTGTAGGCCTGTAATTTTAGGAATAACTCACTGAAATCTGTCCGAACAAGAGTCTAGTAAACATCCCAGGTATGATAAAATTTGAAACACGAAATCATAAATTATAATTTAATAAATAATCATAAAAAATAATAATATAATAATAAATTTAATTCAATAATATAATCAAACCAAAAACACTGAAATTTGAAATAGAGCGCCAAGTTCGCACATCACTGAGCAAAGTCGCAGAATCGTTTTCAGTGTCTGATGAGGAATTTCCCCCACGAATCATTATCACTCAATTCTGCAAGTGGTTCTGATTTACTATCGCTGTTCTCTAGCCGGTCTAAAACCGCTTTTGACCTAAAGGGACGCTTTTTGGACGCCATGGACGTTTCTCAGTTTCCAGGCAGAAAGAACAGTAAAAATGCAGGCAGGGCGCCGGACAAAGCACTCGGGACAAAATGTATGTGAAATGGTTTGATACAGTAATGTTATACTATGTGATTTTAGTGTATTTAGTGAATGTCACTTTTTGTCATTTTCAAATTTCCCGCCAGTTCCGTCCCCCGTATGTTCCGACGTCGCAGGGGACAGAACCCGGAAGATGGATGCCGGCATCAGCCGGAGGACACTGCAGGGGGGACATCACGGGAGCGCAGGACAAGGTAAGTGATCGAGGGATCGTGGAGCAGCGCCGCATTGTAAGCCCGAGTGTAGCTCAGGGTTACCGCTTGTGGTACTGAAACTTTACCCCGAGCTACACTCGGGAATACCGCCAGGGGGGCTACAAAGACTGTATTAGTGTATACAGAAGACTTGGGAAGGACTATCGTTAATTATATATTATTTCATTTGATTGGACACTGACTATTTTGTTAATTCAGCGACCTTTTTGATTTTTCCTATATATGTGGCCTCTGGGGGGAGGCATTTATGCATTGGGTCTGTGGGAGATTACACTTTAATTAGGTGTGGTTTTGTTATATATAAAATAACAAACATGTCTATACTTACCTGCTGTGTGTAGTGGTTTTGCACAGAGCAGCCTGGATCCTCCTCTTTTTGGGTCCTCTACCGGTGCTCCTGGCTCCTCCTTTCTTTTGGGTGCCTCCATAGCAAGCATGCTGCGGATGCTATTCCTGGTTGACACTACACTTTCTCCAAACCCCACAACTTGCCAGGTACTCTTGGGCTCACAGCACACCTTTACTCACAATTTCACCATAGAGTCCTTCTAATCCTCCCCCCTCCCTATTACACATTTGGAAATAGTTTTTTTGGGGGTATGCAAGAACGTTTTTCAGCAGGTGCTTGCAACAATGTTCCACATTCCTTGCCTAGCTGAGGATGACTTTGCATTCTAAGTGACAGAAAGATGAGCTCATAGGTCTGCTGGCTGTTCTTTCACTGTCCAATCACAAGCCTGGGGGGGGGGGGGGGTCCTGTAAGTTCCAGTAGTTTTACTGAACTGATGCAAAACCTGATCTCCTCTGCCGACAGACACAGAGTAGCTGTGCTGTGTGACAGAGTTGTGTATGTCTCTGGACTGGATGGACAGAAATATATTTTTTTTGGCGCATGAAACTGCTCTCATATATGTATTTAATCTATGTATTGCTCAGACCTCATAGTACTTTGGATTGTCCAAAGAGACAACCCAGCAGAGCAGGTTGAGTTGATGCTCTCTATGATCATTGAAACGTTGTGTTAAGCCATGTAATAAGGGGAAACCCACGTTTCTTAGAGTTCTGTAAAGAAGGAGGACAGCTGTTATGGTTAGGAGTTGGGCTCGGGTGCCAGTAGCTTACTGTATAGTGGTAGAAAAGCTCCCACTGATGAGCAGGACAAGTACAAAAGCAGAAAACAGAATACCCTGGTGGATAATGTGGGCTCTAACCACTAACTAGTTTTCACCAGAGCTCCTGATGGTGGAGATGGGTTTAGCTGAGTGTTAGTACCAGGTCATGGTCCTCAGGATCGCCCAACCAGGAGATGAGCAAGTCGGAGTAGGTAGAGATCAAGTAGAAGCATAGTCAGTAAACAAGTTAAGGATCAGTAACATGTGGTTGCAGGTTGGAATCAAGTGGAAGCCCAGTCGAGGAACAAGCCAAGGTCAGTAACAAAAGGTTGCAGGTTGGGATCAAGCGGAAGCTCAGTCAAGGAACAAGCCAAGTTCAGTAACAAATAGTTGCAGGTTGGAATCAAGCGGAAGCTCAGTCAAGGAACAAGCCAAGTTCAGTAACAAATAGTTGCAGGTTGGAATCAAGCGGAAGCCAGTCGAGGAACAAGCCAAGTTCAGTAACAAACGGTTGCAGGTTGGATCAAGCGGAAGCTCAGTCGAGGAACAAGCCAAGGTCAGGAACAAACGGTTGCAGGTTGGGATCAAGCGGAAGCTCAGTCGAGGAACAAGCCAAGGTCAGGAACAAACGGTTGCAGGTTGGAATCAAGCGGAAGCTCAGTCGAGGAACAAGCCAAGGTCAGGAACAAACGGTTGCAGGTTGGGATCAAGCGGAAGCCCAGTCGAGGAACAAGCCAAGGTCAGGAACAAACGGTTGCAGGTTGGGATCAAGCGGAAGCTCAGTCGAGGAACAAGCCAAGGTCAGGAACGAACGGTTGCAGGTTGGGATCAAGCGGAAGCTCAGTCAAGGAACAAGCCAAGTTCAGTAACAAATGGTTGCAGGTTGGAATTAAGAAAAAGCATAGTTGAGGAACAAGCCAAGGTCAGTAATGAGTGGCAGTGAAGATACAGACAGCAACAGGAGTGAAAAGAGCAAGATATTGGTTGGAGTAGAGCAGAATAATCTGACAAAAAGGAAGTGCAAAGGCATGGCCTAAATAGGAAGTTTACGGGAGGAACAAGGAATTCAAGGTTCACGAAAAACAAGGTAGAAAGTACGTTTGTCCAAGGTAATCAGGCAAGGAATTTTATAGCATCTCAGGTGGTCTAGCAAGAAGATCTACTGACAGACGCTACAAAGGTTGTGGGTTCAGATCCTGGTCCTGACAACAGCCGAATATATAAAAAGTAGCCTATAGCTCTGTAGCCTATAGCTCTGTTGTCTGGATACAAAAATGATGTAATACATCAATTTTAAAAATTGTTAGGTTTCCTTCCTGACAATAACAAAAGTATAAATATGTCAAAAAACAAATGCCTATTCACTTTAGGACACTTGTATAAGTAAACTTTTGTCATGGTAAATTATCCAGCTACATTGTCTGTGGCCTCATTGAAAATCCATTCAACCAAGACATTTAATTATTAGCTGCTTAGCATCAATATTATTTAATCTGTCCTGAATACTATAATGCCCTTTCAGATCTCCCTGCCTAGGCTGTTTTCGGGAATAGAAAAGCGTTACGTCACGGCTTGCCACATTGACAATAGAAGATTAATTTACGCTGCATTAAGTTTTCAATTTCCTTGTACGAATGATTTTACAACTAGCCTCTGTGTGTGATTTAGCCGCGGAATGGATATGGTGTTTTTAACATCAGCAAGTTAATACTGATATAATTAATAAGTTGGCAAGCTGAAATTTGTATTTTCTCTAACCAGCTGTCTTTGTTTGCTTTACTTTTACTCTATTGGGTCTTAATACAGCAAGTGCATTATCAAGGAAGTAAGTAAGATGTACTGTATATTCTGGGTTTGCAGATATTATTATTATTATTATTATACAGTATTTATAAAGCGCCAATGGTTCGCTCAGCGCTGTACATTACAAAGGGGGACAGAACATGTGACAGAACAATACCAATACAATGCAAAACATGAGGGGATCGAGGGCCCTGCTCCTTGGAGCTTACAATCTAGGAGGGAGGGGATAGTGGTACAGGAGGAGATAGCTGTGGGGGATGGAGTGGTAGGAAGAGTGGAGGAGGTCGGCAGGTTAGCAGGGGGTGGGGTAGGCTTCCCTGAAGAGATGGGTTTTCAGGGTGCGCCTAAAGGAGAGGAGAGTAGGTGATAATCTGATGGGTTGGGGCAGGGAGTTCCAGAGGATGGGTGACACCCTGGAGAAGTCCTGGAAGCAGGCATGGGAGGAGGAGACCAGGGAACTAGAGAGAAGGAGGTCTTGTGAGGAGCGGAGTGTACGTGCTGGGTGGTACTTGGATATTGGTCAGTGATGTAGTTCGGGGCAGTATGGTGGACGGCTTTGTACGTCAGTGTTAGGATTTTGAATTTGATCCGTTGCGCAATCGGAAGCCAGTGGAGGGATTGGCAGAGGGGGGGGGTGGCGGAGACGGAGCGGTTGAAAAGGTGAATGAGTCTGGCTGCCGTATTCAGGATCGACTGAAGGCAGGCCAGTGAGGAGGGAGTTGCAGTAGTCGAGTCGTGATATGATGAGGGAGTGGATGAGCTGTTTAGTGGTTTCTGGGGTTAGGAACGTGCAGATTTTGGCGATGTTGCGGAGGTGGAGTCTGCACGAGTTTGTTAAAGATTAGACTTGGGGCTGGAAGGATAGGTTGGAGTCCAGAATGACACCAAGTACTCTGGCCTGTGGGGCGGGTTTGATGGTGGCGTTGTTGGATGTGACGGAGAAGTCAATGGGGGGTGGTGTCCGGGCTGGGGGGAAGACAAGAAACTCGGTTTTGGAGAGGTTCAGTTTAAGGAAGTGGAGCGACATCCAGTCTGATATGTCGCTCAGTAGGTGTGTGATTCGGGCGGAGACCGAGGGGGTGAGCTATGCTTATAGTACATGGAAAACAGCATAAGGGTCCTATCATACCAGCAAATTTGTACCAAAGATCTGAAGCAGATCTGATTATTTTATATAGTGATTTGTAGATAGATATCCTGTTGGCTTCAGAAGAACACAAGAAGACGCTTCTAAGCAGAAATAAATGTTAATGTTAATAAAAGAGTAAATATCCACTCACATGAGTATGAACAATAAAGTCATGTAACCCAAAAGTGGTCATCTGTGGTCCCATCTGTGGAACATCCAGCAAAGCAGAACACTGAACCGCTGTGGGGAGTGTAAGCCAAGGCATGGAAGCTGAACTGTCAAATGTTTGACAGTGTGGGAACCTCAGCAGTGACAGCAGACTCCAGGGAAATGTGGGGGGCGTGCTTATGCATTTCAAGGCAGTAATGCCTATTTCTCAATCCTTGAAACGCGTAGCTATGCCGCCTCATTTAGAAACACCTTCTTGAGTTCTTCTGCTGTATTTCAGATATCCCTCTATCTGTGGAGGAGCCGCTCTAAGGACTTTGTGGCCACTTTAGGATCAATTTATGGACATATTTCTTACTATATTTGGCTGCTGTTACTCTGGGGCCTGCTAGTAGATTTTGCGGAATGACAAATAATTATTACTGAACCCACTTGGCTTCAGTGCAGCTGTAAGAAACTTTTTATAACTGTAATTTTTTTTTATTTTGTACATGAGGTTTGTGGTACAGTATGTTCCAGGATCACCAGATTACACACAGCAGAGAATAGGGTGGGTTAGTGTGCTATAGTAATGACTTGTTGAAAAGCAACTACTCAACAGGTAGGTTTTGCTTCAAATGCCAAATTTTCAATTTCAGTTTTGCCTGGAGTGTACCATTAAATTAGTCTGTTCTCAGTGTGATATGGGGGATGCTTAGCTCAATGGTAGATGTTTTAGTGAGTTCACGCCAGGCAAGAACTAAACTTAAGGGCCTGTTAGCCCACTTTTATTAAACAGTAACTGAAAGGTGCTTTCAACACAAGGTTTCCCACGCAGGGGGTTTCAACTTCACCTAAAATAATATACAGTGAAAATGCTGAGCCACCTGGCTCTCTGGTTAGCGGTACCTCTGCTTGGCTTGGTCTCCCAGACCACTAGCTATTCAGGCTCTCTCAGCCTAGGTAACAGCTCCTTGCTTTTCAGGCCCCACATGGCCACTTTACAGAGTTTTCCCTGTACCTCAGCTTGCTTCTTCCAGAGACTCACGGATTCCCTCCAGCCCCTTGGACTCACTGGCCTCTGCAGCTTCCTCAGCCTCCCAGACCCTCTCTTATTCTCCCAGACTCTCGTAGCTGGACAGACTTTCCCAGTCCTTGGGCCCAGAATCCCCCTCACAAGGGTTGTAGTCTCCACCAGGAGCTTCCAGCTCTCCTGTCAAGTCTTTGTCTTCAGGCTTGAAGCAATAGCAACTGCTATTCCAGGAATGGACTGGCCAGCAATAGTGGGACTCACCTGCCTTGTGAGCTGCAGTACCAGGGCTGGCCAGCGGGTGCTCCCAGCAATCAGAGACTCAACCTTGCAGCCAGTCAAACACCTGGAACTAATTATACTGGTGTATTTAAGGGACATTCAGACCTGCAGACTCTGCCTTGGTGTGGTTTTCCTGGGCCCTGTTTCCTGTTCCTGCTCCCTGTTCCTGTCTGATTCTCTGCTGACCCTGCTCTGATCCCTGGCTTGTCTGACCATTCTTCTGCTCCTGATCCCCGGCTTGTCTGACCATTCTCCTCTGCCTGACCCTCTGTACCACGCTGCCCGCTACCTGCTGAACCTGGCTTGTGACCCCGACCATTCTCCGCTTGCTCCCCCTGTACCTACCTGCCCGATTGATATTTACCCAGCCTGCCTGACGACGCTTTACATTGTATGTACTGTTATCTGTGGGTGGTTGGTTTGGTTTGTTTGCACTGTGTTATGTTTTAGTATTGCACTGCGTTTATGTTTGTATGGTTAGTGTTAATAAATTACATTGTTTATAACATATCTGAAATCTGCGTTTCCCTGCGTCAGTCACATACCTCTGGTCATACCCGGGAGCCCTGACATTACACCAAGGCCAATCCTGACCAGAAGTGGCTGCACAGGGAAGCCATCTTGGCTTGTTGCTGGGAAAGATGGATCTTGATGAGGTTGTGTATTGATATCTGCTAGTGTTTGATGACAGGGAGTATCTTATCAGACTCTGAAGGAGTATCCCCGGGATCAACTGCTAGAATGTATATGGCTTGCTCATGTTCTAGTAGATCAGGGCACAGAGTTTTCTGAGGTGCAACCTTTGATTCAAGTATGTGCGGAGTTGGTTTCATCTGGTACCCCCGAATGCAGGGATGAATTTTTGCCGCCATTTAGTGCCGACCAGGTAGAGTCCCTGGTGTGGTTATTAGAGGATGATGTGGGTTACTTTCTGGAGCGTTATTCTGCGTGTTCACCACAGGTACTCAGAGATTGTATAAACGCAGTGCAGTCATTGACCAGACAGGCTTTGTGTAAGCTCAGCTTTGTTCAACCCATACTGCAGACATGGACAGACTTGTTGCACCCAGCCTCAGTCAGCTTACAAAAACCCAGTCCTGCTTCTAATCTATTTCCTCAAAGCTCTATTCCTGCATTCCCAACAGCTCCTCTCTGTCTCCAGCTGCTCCACTCGTTTGCAGACCTGCGTTTACTTGCAGTGCTCCAGTAGTTAAAACCAGAAAAAAGCGAAAATTCTTTCCAACCAGTACCATCCTGCCAGTATCCAAACCGGTGAACCTGCCTTCCGTGGTTCAGCCTGAAGCCTCTACTCAGCCTGAATCCTCTACTCAGCCTGAATCCTCTACTCAGCCTGATGCCTGTACTCAGCCTGATGCCTCTACGCAGCCTGATGCCTCTCTTCAGCCTGATGCCTCTACTCAGCCTGAAGCCTCTACTCAGCCTGAAGCCTCTACTCAGCCTGATGCCTTTACTCAGCCTGATGCCTGTACTCAGCCTGATGCCTGTACGCAGCCTGATGCCTGTACGCAGCCTGATGCCTCTACTCAGCCTGATGCCTCTACTCAGCCTGATGCCTCTACTCAGCCTGATGCCTCTACTCAGCCGGATGCCTGCATTCAGCCTGATGCCTCTACCCAGCATGATGAACTGATCCAGCCTGACGATCCTATTAGGCCAGTTGACTTGATGCCCGCTGTTGATCCAGATGATCCGGTGCCCGCTGTCGTGCCTATTGACTCAGAGCCCGCTGTCGTGCCTGGTGACTCGGTGCCACTGTCTTGCCAGATGACGCGGTGCCCGCTGGCGAGCTAAATGACCTGATGCCTGGTGACCCAGTGCCCGCTGTCATACCTGGTGACCCGATGCCCGCTGTCGAGCCAGACAATCCGGTACCTGATGACCCCGGTGCCCGCTGTCGTGCCAATTGAGTCAGAGCCCACTGTCGTGCCTGGTGATTCGGTGCCCGCAGTCTTGCCAGATGACTCGTGCCCGCTGTTCTGCCAGTTGACTCGATGTCCGCTGTTCCGCAGACAACTCGGTGCCCGCAGTCTTGCCAGACGACTCGGTGCCCGCAGTCTTGCCAGACGACTCGGTGCCCGCAGTCTTGCCAGACGACTCGGTGCCCGCAGTCTTGCCAGACGACTCGATGCCCGCTGTTCCGCCAGTTGACTCGATGCCCGCTGTTCCGCCAGTTGACTCGGTGCCCGCAGTCTTGCCAGACGACTCGGTGCCCGCAGTCTTGCCAGACGACTCGGTGCCTGCAGTCTTGCCAGACGACTCGGTGCCCGCAGTCTTGCCAGGCGACTCGAAGCCCGCTGTTCCGCCAGTTGACTCGATGCCTGCCGTTCCGCCAGTTGACTTGGTGCCCGCAGTCTTGCCAGACGACTCGGTGCCCGCAGTCTTGCCAGAAGACTCGGTGCCCGCAGTCTTGCCAGACGACTCGGTGCCCGCAGTCTTCCCAGACGACTCGGTGCCCGCTGTTCCGCCAGTTGACTCGGTGCCCGCTGTTCCGCCAGTTGACTCGGTGCCCGCAGTCTTGCCAGACGACTCGGTGCCCGCAGTCTTGCCAGACGACTCGGTACCCGCAGTCTTGCCAGACGACTCGGTGCCCGCAGTCTTGCCAGACGACTCGAAGCCCGCAGTCTTGCCAGACGACTCGAAGCCCACTGTTCCGCCAGTTGGCTCGGTGCCCGCAGTCTTGCCAGTTGACTCGGAGCCCACTGTTGTGCCTGGTGACTCGGTGCCCGCTGCTCCGCCTGGGGGCCCGAGACCTGTCGCTCCGCCTGGGGGTCCGGCGCCCGCCGCTCCGCCTGGGGGTCCGGCGCCTGTCGCCCCGCCGGGGGGGGATGACCCATGCCTGTCGCCCCGCCTGGGGGCCCGATGCCTGTCGCCCCGCCTGCGGGCCCGATGCCTGGCGCCCCTCCTGGGGGCCCGGCGCCCGCCGCTCCGCTTGGGGGCCCGATGCCTGTCGCCCCGCCGGGGGGCCCGGTGCCTGTCGCCCCGCCTGGGGGCCCGATGCCTGTCGATCCGCCTGGGGGGCCCGATGCCTGTCGCCCCGCCTGGGGGCCCGATGCCTGTCGCCCCGCCTGGGGGCCCGCTGCCTGCTGCTCCGCCCGGTGGCCCGCTGCCTGCTGCTCCGCCCGGTGGCCCGCTGCCTGCTGCTCCGCCCGGTGGCCCGGTGCCTGCTGCTCCGCCGGTGGCCCGGAGCCTGCTGCTCCGCCCGGTGGCCCGGTGCCTGCTGCTTCGCCTGGTAATCCGATGTGCCTCTGCCCGGAGTCCAGCCCGATGTGCCTCTGCCCGGAGTCCAGCCCGATGTGCCTCTGCCCGGAGTCCAGCCCGATGTGCCTCTGCCCGGAGTCCAGCCCGATGTGCCTCTGTCCGGAGTCCAGCCCGATGTGCCTCTGCCCGATGTGCCGCTGCCCGATGTGCCGCTGCCCAGAGTCCAGCCCGATGTGCCTCTGCCCGGAGTCCAGCCCGATGTGCCTCTGCCCCGGAGTCCAGCCCGATGTGCCTCTGCCCGGTGTGCCTCTGCCCGGTGTGCCCCTGCCCGGTGTGCCGCTGCCCGGAGTCCTGCCCGGTGTGCCGCTGCCCGGAGTCCTGCCAGTCTTTGATATCCCGCCAGTTACCAGACCCGGGCGGTGGAACATTTTGCCCAGCTAGGACTGTTTGGAGCGTCCTGAGGCCGCTCCTTGAGGGGGGGGTACTGTCAGGAATGGACTGGCCAGCAATAGTGGGACTCACCCTGCCTTGTGAGCTGCAGTACCAGGGCTGGCCAGCGGGTGCTCCCAGCAATCAGAGACTCAACCTTGCAGCCAGTCAAACACCTGGAACTAATTATACTGGTGTATTTAAGGGACATTCAGACCTGCAGACTTTGCCTTGGTGTGGTTTTCCTGGGCCCTGTTTCCTGTTCCTGCTCCCTGTTCCTGTCTGATTCTCTGCTGACCCTGCTCTGATCCCTGGCTTGTCTGACCATTCTCCTGCTCCTGATCCCCGGCTTGTCTGACCATTCTCCTCTGCCTGACCCTCTGTACCTCGCTGTCTGCTACCTGCTGAACCTGGCTTGTGACCCCGACCATTCTCCGCTTGCTCCCCCTGTACCTACCTGCCCGATTGATATTTACCGGCCTGCCTGACGACGCTTACATTGTATGTACTGTTATCTGTGGGTGGTTGGTTTGGTTTGTTTGCACTGTGTTATGTTTTAGTATTGCACTGCGTTTATGTTTGTATGGTTAGTGTTAATAAATTACATTGTTTATAACATATCTGAAGTCTGCGTTTCCCTGCGTCAGTCACATACCTCTGGTCATACCCGGGAGCCCTGACAACCACTTGTAAGCTATGCTCAGATCTGCCTTATAACGAGTGTGTGCACCTGGACACACACACACCCTGCAGAACTTCTGAAAAACCTGGACACAAGACTGAAGACTTCGTCCTATCCAATACTCTTTGGAGCCTTCAAGCTTATAGCCCGATCCAGACTTACCAAATCCAGGGAAAGCTTAAAGTATAGCTTTCTCTGCATGCAAAACATTTGCTGGAGCCCCTCAAACTGACTGTTTGAGAGTCCTGTGTCCTTCTCAAACCCATTTCCACAGTGACAGAGCCTCGAATTTTTAAGCTAATCTTTATCTTTGCATGTTGGGATTATGCAGTCTTCGAAACATGGCAGCTCTTATGTAGTATGGTAGTCGAGTTTGGTTCTGGATACAAACTCTGTCGATTAGGTATTTTTGGCTACAATAAAAGGTTTCAACAGCAGGTTGGGGTCCACAGGTAGTAGCTTAGTACAAATCTACAGAAAAAGATACATGCAGGGACCCAAGTATGAGTTACACCCTTAACTTTCACAACTGGCTTGCTAGAATTCCTATATCACTGATGTTTAACTGGCAGCTTAAGGGTGCATAAGACCATGACAGGCATGGATTCCTTCCTTGTGGCCTTCCTTGCCTCCTCCACTGTCAGGACCTGGTTCTGAACCTCTGACCTCCGCTATGTTTGGTGATGTCTCGTGTTGCTGAGCCACCTGAGATGTTGGACAGCTCCCTGTATAATTCCTTGAATGAGTCTGCCTTGAACCTTGTTCCTCTTGTCAACTTTGAACCTTTTGCTTTTCCCATGAAGTTCCTATTTTATCCATGCCTTTGCACTTCCTGTTTGGGTTGCCACCTCATCCCTTTAAAACTGAACACATATTAATTACACAGGTTCTGTGACTGATTAAGGTGTTAATTAAACTCACTTAATGTCTTATCTGCATTAAACTAGGCGCAGAACCTGTGTAAATAATATGTGTTCGGGTTTAAAGGGATGAGGTGACAACCCTACTTCCTGTTTGCCAGAATATTGTGTTCTTTTCAGCCAATAACTTGTTCTAAACGTATAAAAATATGTGCAGCACTAATCAATAAATTATAATAAAATATATGTGAGAAATGTCTCCAATGATAAGAACATAAATCAGTGATAGTCTCTATGATGAATATAGCGTGATCTACAGCTTTCAATCCAGTGGTGGTGCTCCCAGCGGTAAGGTAAGAATTACGCACTCACCAGAAGCGTAATTTAATTACGCAGTATGTAAATCAACAGGGATCCACTTCACCGATATAGGTCCGGACTGGAACTCAGGGTAGGTTCTCCTTCAAGATGATATGGGTATGAGCCCTCAATGGATGTAGGTAGATCCAGCTGGCCAGAGGTCCCTTTAAGGGATAGGTGGGTATAGATGCCTGTTTACAGGTGCCTACCTCTCTGGGTCTGATGGACAGGAGACTGGATCACAGCAGGGCTCTATAAATAATATAGCTCCTTGCAAGCCTTTTTACAGGTCTTTTCTGCTCCCCATGGCTCAGTATCTAGCCTGCCCAGTGCATCAACTGCTTGTTTTACTTGTTCTAGTCACTCCTGCTGCCGTTTGTATCTTTACTACCACTTGTTACCAATCTTTGGCTTGTTGCTTGACTACACTTCCGCTTGATCCCAACCTGCAGCCACTTGTTACCGACCTTTGACCTGTTTACTTACTACACTTCTGTTTCATCCCTACCTGTTATATCTGCTACTGGATCCCAGCTTTCCACCTCCTGAGGGGGCAATCCTGAGGACCGTGACTTGGTACTAACACACAGCAAAATCCATCTCCACTATCAGGAGCTCTGGTGAATACCGTTTAGTGCTTTGACCCCGCATCTCGGGTGAGCCTGCATCATTCACTTGGGTGACCTGCTTGTATACCTGTCCTGCTGCTCGGTGGGAGCCTCTCTACTGCTATAGCTACTGGTCTCCAAGCCTGACCCCTGACCATGACAGCCACCCTCCTTTAGCCACTTTCTGTCTATTTGCCCTTAATCCAGGGTTAACTGCACATCATTGCTTTGGACCCACCTCTTGATTGCAGACCATAACTGCACAATGTGTGTTGCCACCTGTAGTCCAACCCAGGAGCACTTGTGATACGGTGACAACGCCGAAGCAATTGTGGGAAAGTTTTGACCCTATAATAGGAAGTTCCAGAACAAGGACCTTCATAGCATGATCACCATGTATCTTATCAATTAAAACTGTAGATTTAAAAAGGCTGAAAACAAATTTTGAAATTACATTAACATGTTAAAGCTTATATGAGATTTTAATGGTTGGGTTTGGATCTACTTGTGAGCATTTGTAAGCATTATTATTTAGATCATTCAATACTTATGTTTTAATGTTTTGTTTCACAATTTAAATTCTTTCTATATTAACAGTCATTTTAGACATCATATCCTAAAAAGTTGATATGTTTGGTCGACAAGTTGCAAATTGTTTTGTACGAATGCTACACCAGAACGGCAGGCGTGATGGAATTATACGGAGGGTGATAGAACATTTGCATGCAGTGACAGGCTGAGAAGAAAAACAACTTAGAAAATCACAGAATTGTACAGTATACTGTATGTCCTCCATTTTGTTATTGGAGGGAGTAAGTCATTTTTGCCATTTTGCATCACTAGGGTCCAAGGTTCACTTCCCATTAGGGACACTATAAGCTTAACGTTTGTCTAGTAGCCTCCCTGGCGGTATTCCCGAGTGTAGCTCGGGGTAAAGTTTCAGCACCACAAGCGGTAACCACGAGCTACACTCGGGCTTACCATGCGGCGCTGCTCCGGGATCTGTTCTTCTCTTACCTTGTCCTGCGCTCCCGTGATGTCCCTCCTGCAGTGTCCCCTGTAATGTCCTCCGGCCGATGCTGGCATCTGTCTTCTGGGTTCCGTCCCCTGCGACGTCGGGACGTATGGCGGACGGAACGGCGGGAAATTTGAAAATGACAAAAAGTGACATTCACTAAATTCACTAAAATAACATAGTAAAACATTCCTGTTTCAAACCATTTCACATACATATTGTCCCGAGTGCTTTGTCCGGCGCCCTGCCTGCATTTTTACTGTTCTTTCTGCCTGGAAACTGAGAAACGTCCATGGCGTCCAAAAAGCGTCCCTTTAGGTCAAAAGCGGTTTTAGACCGGCTAGAGAACAGCGATAGTAAATCAGAACCACTTGCAGAATTGAGTGATAATGATTCGTGGGGGAAATTCGTCATCAGACACTGAAAACGATTCTACGACTTTGCTCAGTGATGTGCGAACTTGGCGCTATATTTCAAATTTCAGTGTTTTTGGTTTGATTATATTATTGAATTAAATTTATTATTATTATATTATTATTTTTTATGATTATTTATTAAATTATTATTTATGATTTCGTGTTTCAAATTTTAACATACTCGAGATGTTTACTAGACTCTTGTTCGGACAGATTTCAGTGAGTTATTCCTAAGAATTACAGGCCTACAATAAAAAAAAATATATATTTCCATGCAAAAAAATGTACCGCTTTGAGCACAGAAATATGGACATAAGCAGACCACTAGGGAGGTTAATATTGATTCTGTGTGGATCTTCTTTGTGCACTTCAGTTTCCCTTCACAGTCCAGAATATAATGGTATCATCCCTGCACAATTGGCCTTTGCATGTGTGTATGACTTAAATGGGTTAGAGTGTGAGCTCCTTTGTGAAAAGGACCGATGTTAGTGTTTCTGTGGTCTTTGTAAACTGATATGGAATATGCTATCACAGGTCAGTATCTTTAGGTCAACTTTTGTTTGTGTCTGCTGGTCTCCAAGTTTGCTGTTGTTCCCTCCTTCCTTACACAAAGAATTTCCCACTCTTTGGAACTCCTGTCAGTCTCGCAGCTTCACCTGACAGGAGGTACCTCATTCACGCCTTTAGCTGCACTTGCACCCGCCATGTTGGCTTATTTTGAGAAGTGCATTTGGGAACCTCTCCTGCCCATCTTCTAATGTCATGCCTAAGAAACCTTTTTAAACTTTCTCAGTGAGATTTGGAATCATCTGAGAAAAGACCCCACTCTGTTCCTACTGTAGTGCTATCTTCTCAAGGGCCGTTGAGTTTGGGTCCCCTTTAGCTTTGCATGGCCAGGCAACACACATTTTTCCACATCTTCATGTGCACAGGTTCAGTAATACAGTTCTTGAGCTGTTTTTCTAGTTGTTTTTTATTAAGGGGTTAACAATTTGGATGGGGTCTAAGAGTATATGGAATGCCCAAGGAACTGAAAACTTGAGAATAAACTCCTTAACAACCTGTACACTGTACAAAAGATGTGCATCCACAATATAACACTTTCTTTTAAGGAGCACTGAATTGCCCTTAGTGTACCTCCTTAGACCCCAGATGAATCATCCTCTTCACTCAGCTGCACCGAGGGTATCCCTGGGCAAGGGACTCCAACAGCTAACATTTAAGTTCTGGATGAGAACTAGTTGGGTCTTGCACCTCACCGCCCTCTCCCTTTTATCTGACCCAGGGGGTGTAGGAGTACTCATACTGTCCTGTTAGCTTGGTGGATTGGTAGCTGCCTTCAGGCCTTACGCTCCCCTCCCTGGGGCCGATGAAGGAACCGATGTCTAAGGGGGTGATGTCATGGAAACAAAACACTACACTACAACCAAATGAGCTCCATGTGGCATGTTATAGGGACAAGAACTATAGTTCTCATTCGGTTGCCCTTATAACATGCCAGAGGGAGCTCATTCACTTGTTAGTGTTTGATTTCCATGGCATCGGTGAGGGCGGAATGATTACACCAGCCTCCTGCCCGATTCTTGCTCCTCCCCTACACAAGCCTACACCAAGATGGCCCCTGTCCTGGCCTGAAGAGGGAGCACGCATGCTCCGAATGTGCGCCACCCATGTGACCGGAAGTGACGTTGACCTTCTCCTTCCTGGTGTACCAGGCACTGCAGGAAACACTAGGAGCCACCAGCGCCGCCTTAGACATCGGTTCCACACCTAAGGTTGCAGTCAGCACTCTGGACCACAGCAGATTAACTTTATAGGACAAGCGCTATTTTATCATCTACAGTATCTTGTGAGTTGCCATTTTTATATGTGAATAAACGTTTTCAACTTGCTGCACTTAGATGGCGTCACCTCTTTCCCCTCATCTTCCCATAAAGTCTCTTCTAGCTCAATGCAAGCTGGCAGCCTCCAAGTAAAGCCAACCCCATATGGACTTATAATTGTACCATACAGGAATCCTCCCCTCTTTTCAACCGGGCTGGCCCACTTGGCTGGTCCCCATCCAGTGACATATCATTGCAGCGGCCACTCCAGCTTCTTTTGAGTGTGCCAAAACACTCCATCTTTTGTCCTTTACCTGGGGCCCTTTCCCAGGTTCCACACTCCAGCCTTCTCTCAGTCCATCTTCCACCCAACTCCCCTGCTGCTTAGGCTCTGTCACATTTCAGAGTCGTCCTTGGTCACCATTCCCAGCATCCTGCCTGGGGATTGGCCAAGTTCCCCTAAACATGCAATTCTGGGCCTTCTCCCGCTCCTCCACCCTTCTTCTAGAATGTTCTCTCAGTTTCTGGAAGGGTGGGAGGGCTCCATAAGCCCTGACCTGTAGAGTCTCCCAACCTGTCCTGAGGTGACATCTCTACCGCACTCCCAGGCTGACTCATCCCAGGCTGCTACCCAGCCTCTGACTAACAAACAAAACCTAGCTACCTAAGGGCTGCTACACTCACATTTCTGTCTTCTTGTTCCTGTTTCTGGTTTCCCTATTGAAGTATGACCCCATCACAAACAAGAGAGTGCACTGTGATCCTACTTCAGTAAAAAAAAGGTTTGGACTCAGCTTGAAGATCCGTGGTGTGCTGGCAACTATGTACACTGTTGAATGTTGGGGCTCTGCACCTTGGCGACTTTTAGGGCCTACATTTGCCTGATGATGCAGACAGTTGAAGGCAACCTTAAAGTGTTACTAAACTCAGGACCCTGCATTCACTATATCTGGTCTCCCCGGACCCTGCATTCACTATATCTGGTCTCCCCGGACCCTGCATTCACTATATCCGGTCTCCCCAGACCCTGTATTCACTATATCTGGTCTCCCCGGACCCTGCATTCACTATATCTGGTCTCCCCAGACCCTGCATTCACTATATCTGGTCTCCCCGGACCCTGCATTCACTATATCCGGTCTCCCCAGACCCTGTATTCACTATATCTGGTCTCCCCGGACCCTGCATTCCCTATATCTGGTCTCCCTGGATCCTGCATTCACTATATCTGGTCTCCCACAGTACACAGAACATGGAAATGCAATTATTTTAGTAAATATAAACTGCTAAATACCTTTTCTCATCAGCAGTTAAAGCAGTCTTGTGACTTTTATCAGTGTTCAGCCCAGCACTAGCTAAAGCTTGTAGGATGAGTTTTCTTTCTGTTCTAGGAAGATGCAAAACCCCTGACCTCTGTCTGGCCAGTGCTGATCACATGCACTCTCCCAAGAAAAAAAAAAACCTCTCTAGTAATACACAACAAACTGAGCATTTGCAAAATGCCTACGGTTCAGTCTGTCTTATCAGGAGATAAGAGGTGGTCGCATGAAAAAGGGGAGGAACAGAGAAGAAAGGATCAAAGGGCCTTTTTACACAATGCAGAGGATTAACCCCTTAGGTTCCACAGTGAGTATAACAAGCATGCGTTACTGCATATACAGACTGATTGTACTGTTGTGGGTTTAGTAACACTTTAACATTTGTTGGAGCTGTATAGGTGAATAATGTTTATGACTGGATGCAGAGATAAGTCCTCATGCACACGGGATGTTTTGATAAAGCTGGTATTGTTAGCTGTGTAAATGCGTGTTACAAACGTGAGTTTTTCAGCTTTTTTTAGCGTTTTTGCATTAACGTTTAGTGACATTTTGTCGCGCTTAGCTGCGTTTTCCCGCGTTTTTCAGCTTTTAGCATTTTTGTAGAAATCCACTAGTTGTAGGGTTTTTCTCCAGCCAAAAAACGTTGATTACAGTCTATGTGTGCATGGACACATAGGATAACATGCTGGGGGGTTTACTGGCTGTAGAAAAAAACGTCAAAAGCCAAAAAACAGCCGCTGTAAAAATGTCAAGTGTGCATGAGGACTAAAGCAAAACCAGCAACGAGTCTGTGAGCAGCTCCAAATCAGTGACCGACCTCACCTAGGACCAAATAGCTTTTATGTACTCACAATTTTGTGATCAAGAATACAAGCCAGTACACCCTTACTAGTCAACTTATTGGTAATACAACATAGCTGCCCCCTCTTCCCTAGTAACAGACATCCATGACCTAGCAGCATGCCCAAACATGACGTTACAGAATTCCCATATTCTTGATGTCTCTGGGAAATTCCTCTTACCTCTTTTAGACATAAAGGAAAAGTTCACCTTTAAAAAAAAAAAGAAATATTAAATGCACATTTTTTTTGCAGGTAAAAAAATGTGCATTTACTATTTTTTTTTTATAGGAGCCTACAAAGCATTGCACCATTGATCAGCAGATCCCTGGTGCCATGCAGTACTCCTGCAGACTGCTAGTGTAATCTGTCTGCCTGTACATCGTATGGGCAGGCAGCTTCAGACTGACAGGAAGAATCAATGAACTACCACACTGCTCACCAGCGCAGTAATATTTCATTGAGAACTACAAGTCAACAGCCACTAAGGATGTCGGTACTTGTAGTTGATTCATTCGCAGAACTCTGTGAATGAATTACGCTGTCGTGTGAGCGGAGCCCCGCATGGCTGCACTCTTTTCAAAAAGTGACAACTGGTACAGGGAACTTCTCCCCATACTGCTGTCACAAATTGGGCTTGGATCACCACGCAACTGCTGGAGTGAAACATGTTACATTTTCCACTTTAACCATTACCCGCCCGGCCAATGGCCATTTGGCGGCCGCAAAAACGCTGCAGCGTTCCAGATGCACGCCATTTGGCGTGCTCCCGCATATGTGCAGAGCGGCGTGATCTGTCACCGGCCGTGTACCTCGGACA